ACACACACACACACACACACACACACACACACACACACACACACACACACAATCCCTTCTGGAAAATTATGAAACTTTTTTCAATACTAAGAATCTGCCTTTACGAAGAAAAATAGCACAATGAATGTCCTTGTAGTGAATGAGATTTTTTCTTCATTTACATAGACTATGAAAAAAAAGTAACTATGATAAGAATAAGAATTCAACTATATTTAATCAACATTTTGAAGATAACATCAAACATAATTTAAAATCTGTGAATTGTTGTGACTTATAGGGAAAGAACATTTTACTGAGTAGTTAGTGAAGCTATTATGTTTTACTTCCATGTCTGCCTTTTCAAATTATATTTAAATATTTTCAGTATCTGATTTCATAGTAATAGTCAGTCTTTCACAAAATTGTTAAGGTTTAGATTTGCGTTAATAATAGCAGGAAAATTAGTCCACAGATCTATTATTCACTTTCTCAACAGTTTACAGCTTTACTAAGCACTGAATATGTAAGAACCTGGGGTTTAACTCTGAAGCTTAGAGAGTGAGCGGTATAGATATAAACACCAAGTCATTATTTTTTTAAGGTTTATGATCACCCTGAGACAACTGTATAAGTACCAAGAATATAGAGTAAGGGGAAGTAGGTTACTGAGATGTGAAGGAAAAAAGGCAGGGCACTCCACTGAAAAGGCGAGAAGATCACTCTGCAAGACAGGCTAGATCATAAACAATCCAGAGCACTTAGAGGTAGGAAATGACTGTGAGTCATTTCAGTAACCCTCCTCTTATACTAAAGATCTAGCATGGAACCACAGAATCCCCCCCCCCTTTTTTTTTTTTTTTGCACTTTACTCTGAGGTGCTCTTATTCCAAATGTCAGATGATAAATCAAGGCACAAAGGCTGGGAGCCCAAAAGACTGGTCTTTGATGACCCCTTTACTACTTGATTCTGTGAGTAACAGAAGCAAGGGGGCCATGAACAAAGCATGGGCACCACCTTCACAAAATACGATGAGAAATTAAGGTCTAGTGGCAACAGAGTTTGAGCACTGTTTCAGAGTAGAATAGGTACATTCAGAGGGAAGAAAAATCAAGTAAAGGTGTAATTAAGAGAAAATATAATTAAAGAGTAAAGTTCTAGACTAGAACTTGAGAATAAAGGTAGAGCTGGTCCTGGAAAGAAAGCAGAGGCATTTGAGCTTCTAAAAAGATAGAAATACAAAAGGAGAGGCCTGAAAAATCTGTGTAAATTCAGAGACTAGGTCTGAATGCAGAGAGACACCTCAGCTCACACTTTCCTTGTAGCATAAAACTATTAGAGAAGAGGCAGGTAGAGAGGGGACTGGAGATGGAGGAACTAACTTGGGTGATTTCACTTTTTCCAAGGAAGCTTAGGAGTTGAAAATAGAGGCGAAAGTGGAGGTAAAGCCAGAAAGTAATAGTATTTCTCCACAGAAGAAAACATAAATAGTTCCCAGAGGTGTGACTATAACAGACATGTTACTAAATTACACATGGGTAGGTAGCACTGCCCTGTTATAACAGTCCTCTGCCAATGTAGCACTGCAACTACTTCTGATAGAACGCCAAGTGATCTTTCAAATATAATACTTCCTATGACAAGTCCAGAAAACAACAGAAACCAAGCCAAGGTGACACATAGCCAATTCACCTTTACTGAAAAGTACCTGTATAAATTATAAACGTTACCTCTCGTATTTCATGGCCAGCTCCTCTGTATGACTGTAAGTCCTCCAAGATGCCTTCTGCATCTTTTAACACTACATTCACCTGATTATATATTTCCTTCTCAGACTCTGTAGGCTGGGCATCTAAACAGCAGGAAAGCACAAGAAAATTTATAATAGCATGAATATATTAATACATGTATTAAGTAAAAGCAATTACCAACCCCAATTTCCAAAGATGAGTTACATTTTATTCAATATTAATTTTGAATACCTTTCATTCAATATTTACTTTTTAGAAGAGAAATTTAAACTAATTTCAAATTTATAAAAATTATAAAGCAAGAAAAAAACAAATGTTACTATATAATACTTTAAATTACAAAGTATGAAAGTATTTGAACAAATCTGAGGATTCTAATTAAAATTTAAATTGGTATTACTTACAGTTCTGGGTTTTTTTTTGGTTTGTTTGTCAAGTCTCACTACATAGTACAAACTGGCCTTTAACATATTATGTACCCTTGGCTGCCCTCAAACTTGTTAATCTTCTGCCTCAGTCTGTGCTGAGATTATAAAAATGCACGAGTGCACCCAGTGCCTGATACACTTAATAATCATTTTATATATATATATATATAGTGCATGTCTCACGGCCACTAACGATGACAAACGAAGCATCAATATTCTATTTTAATGCAGTAGAAATGAAGGCTACCTATTAAAGTATCTTGCTCATCTACAGCTTAAAAGACAACAGTACTTTATTTTCCTATACAGTTCACTTTACTTTTAACAAATGAGGTTTGCTACGGGCCATTTAAAAATGTCTGAACAATTGTGATCATGTGAGGTCACGAGAGAGGGTATGTTTAAGCCCAAGCCTATAACAGTGCCATGAACATCTCTGTTGGTGAGTGTGAAGGTCAAGATCCCTGGGTAGGAGTTCAGACTGAACTACAAAACCACTACAGAACTCCTGAGCAGCTGAAGGGGAGATACTTTAAGCTACTGAAATTCTGAAACATAAAAACTGACTTCCTACATAACTAAGATCAAGGAGAAAAAAAAAATGAAAGAATAATTACAGTTATAAATATCATAATCAGGGATACAAACATATAGGCACCTTTACCACCAGTGGTGCTATCCAGAAAACATTATGTTGAAAAGTGACAAAATCTGGATTTCTCTCTGCCACACAAAAGGTTATAGAAATCCCATTTTAATAGCAAGGTCATTTGTTTCCTTTAAGAACAAATCTTTTTAAAATTCTCCTTTCTATTGGGACAAAAAAGAGCACTGCTTAATCAAAGAGTTTTTCATAAGCCTTTCCAATTAGATCATACTCAATACTACAAATAAGGTATAGAGTATGTAAAATAATGCCTTAAAAAAGAATTAAGCTGGCAGGATTCCTCCATGCTAACATGTTAATTTTTAAAGAGAAGACAATCAGTCCAAATTTAAAAGATGAATTAAGAATGTTTTGGGCCAGACTCATTGTTTAATGAGTTGGTTGCTTGCCTTTATAACTATTTGTCCCCTTACTCAGAAAATTAAAAAGAAAAACTTACTTCACACATGAGACTCAATGTAAAGACATCTTAAATTTTATCTTTATTTTATGCTTGGGGCAAGCAACAATTGAGTTCCCTCTATTACCTGACAACCAGTTAAAAACACACATAATACTTTTAAAATCAACAATCACAACACCCAAGTTTACATTCAATGTACATAAGACTTCAGAAACAGTAAGGAAACATTCATGTGGAAAGCCAACTTTAAAAATATGTTTATTCATTCCCTTAATCACTCTTTAAGAAAAAAAATACAATAATTAAAAGGAGTCAATTGAAATATTACGAGTGTGCTCAAAGCTACAAAGGTTCTAGTAAAAGCAAATAGTGAATTAGAGATAAATGTCTAGATTTATAAGAATCAGTTTGTTATTTTAAGCAGTAATGTTTTCACATATAGCCAGACCATATTTTTCAAGGCAATAATTATGCACAACACTTAAAAATAAATAAAAAAGCACATCCATCACTTTTATACTTACACCAGATGCAGCATATAGAAATACTTTGTACATGCAAAAATGAAAGTTCAGTACTTTTTCATATGGATTGTGGAACTAAAAACACAACATCAATAGACACATAGTTTGAAGTTATGAGGTGGGAATTCATGACAAAGGACAGCATTTTATCTATTACATATCAAAAGCACTTGTGTCATTTGAAGATTAAACTATGTATTTTTGGTGTGGTCACTAGGCTAGTAACATAATGTGACACTGAGTTTACAAACAAAACATTATCAAGGAGATTAAATAGACCTTGTAAGTAGTTAATAACTAGTAAAGGTAGTACCAAGAAATTTAAAATAAAGGAGAAGATTCAAGTTTCTCTAAGAGGGAAAAAGACCCAGCACCACACTGATTAACATCTTTTAGACTGTCACAGGAAAGTCACATTTATAATTTTGAAAGCTGCTGAAGACTGCTGTAGAAATGAAGACGAACAGAAAAGAGCAGACAGATAAGCACTACTTTACTGAAAGCAAATCATGCAAAGGGTGAAATAATATTAGGGAGGAAGAAAAAGACTTTAAAATAAAGCATTTCTTTTTTTTTTTTAATGGGATTTTATATATAATGCAACCAAGACTTGTCACTTTGATTTTTCATAGCTTTACTTTTCCAAGAAAAACAAACAACATAGTCTGTTAACAAAATGATACTCTTCTAAATGAAAAACAATGTATCCAGTAAGGATAGACATTCGCTGGTTATCATGTATATCCTGTTAAATGGAAATTAAGGCATGTTCCAATTGCTCTTATTGTTTGAAAGCAAAATTAAATATTTTATTCATAACATACCAATTTTCAATCAGGCAGAGAAAGAATTCCCTACAAGACTCTAGCAAAGAATCACTGAAAGTAATCACTAAAACTGAAGATAGTGTTTTTTTATTTGAGAGGAGGAATAAAAAGAGTAAACATAAAAATTAGAATTGTGATAAATGGGCTTTCTGCTTCAATCTGACGTTCATTCACTCAGTAAACATTTACAACCTATCTACCTAAGTTCCTTCAAGTCAGGAATCAAAATGCACACTGCACCCCACTGGCACAGTACATGTAACCTTACTACTTAGCAGGGTTTCTAATGAACAGTTTCCAAACAAATGGAAACATAATTATAAATAAGGCCCCAGCTTTTAATTAAAGGAGGCCATTACACATCTGATAACATATTTTCAAAAAGTATTTTAAAGATGCCACTAGAATAAAGATATTTCCTAGAATAAGGCAAAAGCTATTGAAAATATTCAAGAGATTAACTGGAAAAAACATTGGTCTTAAAAGTGAGTACAAATATCTTTAAATAAAGAGGGAAGACAGGCAACACAAAAAGATGTGAAAAGAAATGTAAGATTTAATGGGAAGGCACTCTCGACAAACAGAAAAAGGAGATTCCATTTCTCATTTATAAATGACCACTTCTACAAAAACACTAGTTTGATTTACTTTGATATACGTACATCAAGTTTAACAAATACTAAATTTCTAGGCTGGGAAGGGACACAAAATCAAAAAGTCCCTCTTCTGTTCCAAGAAACAGAATTAGACAGTTGCTAAAGACTTATCATTAGAATAAGCTATTAATTAACAATCTTAACAGTAGGTAACTCTAAGAATTAGAATAAGTTAAATACTGTTGCCATTTTTGTTTTATGTTATTTTAAAACATGCTGTCATTAGCGTACCTGCTACCAAATATTATGGAGCAGTTCTGGGCCTACTATCTTTAATATCACTTAAGAATTCCTGAATGTAAAGAATATGACATTTTGCTGAGCACAGAATGGCATCTGTCTTAAAAGCACTGTGCATGCTACTGATTCTTCCATAGTAACCTTCCTAACTGAGCTGTAAATTCACCCTAATACCCAACTCCAACATCATCTTACTAAATTCTCACCTCCTGATCTATACCCTGAATGTAAATTATGTAAATTAGATTGTGATTCTTCACTTCTTTCCTATTAAACAGACTAAGCGGGGTGGAACCTTTGCATACTGAGTACCTACTGACTGGTATACAAGAGGTAGGTAATTCTAAGTGTATATGGATTCAAGTGTAAACCTGTAAAGCGGGAATGGGCTAAAGGACTAATGACTTCAACACAGTCGTTATCTGTGTAATTATTAAAATTATAAAATTATGTTTAAAATGCATGGAAATATGTAACTTGATTCATTCTTATGCCCAAAAGTCAAACACAGAATGTTCTCTGTCTTAACACCACTGTGCGTTTTGCTGTTTCTTTCCCGTGTCCTCCATAACTAAGATTATATATAATTATTTCTGTAGAGCCCAGCTGTCGAGATGTGCAGAGATGGGTCCAACCACTAAGAGTGACTGGAATAATAGACTTAAACTACTGTGGTGACCTGAATATTATTTCACAGTCAAGAAAAGAGAATTGCCCTAAATATTTTAACCAAATAATGTAGCTTTATTAAAATAATAAATGAGACCTGGCAGATAACTATGTTTGGCAAACTTGACTCTGGTACATGATAGCTAAAAAGAGAAGCTATCTAATGGGCTAATGTATTTATAGAAGTTTAATGATAAAGTTCCCAAGTTCACAATTGAGTATTTTTTTTTTTAAATATAGGAAAAATATGTAAAAAAACAACATTAAGATCCCACAAGGGTCAGAAGCCAATGAAAATGTACCTCTGCATCTGAATTAGAAGTTAGGAGCAAATTCTACCTGGTACACAGTGTGTCTTCATTGAGCTTCTTTTAAGGTATAGCAGCAAATAGCAAACCAAGAGCTCTATACTGGCTGATAGAAGCAACATTTTATACATTTTAAAACATTTTAAATGTTTTAAGCTTTAGAGTTGACTCAATGATTCAGAGCAATTACTGATCTTCCAGAAGACCCAGGCTCAATTTCTAGCTCACAGTTGTCTGCAACTCCAGTTCCAGTGGGGAGCCAATGCTCTCTTCTGGTATATACCAGCACTACACACATGTGCACAGATATAATGAAGGCCAAATACACATTTTTAATATTAGCACTTCTTAAAAGTTTATTAAGCTGGACGTGGTGGTGCATGCCTGTAATCCGGTACTCGGGGAAGCAGAGCCAGGCTTATCTCTTTGAGTTTGAGGCCAGCCTGGTCTACAAAAGCAAGTCCAGGACAGCCAAGGCTACACACAAAAACTCTCTCTCTCTCTCTCAAAATATATATATATACATATATATTTTTAAAGGTTCACACATTGTTTTACACCATTATTTTTGTTGTTGTGACTTAAACCCATTTCTAAAATTAAATTAGCTTTCTAAAATATGAAGAGAATGATGCAAATGCCCCCACCCCGACAAGCCAAGATCAAGTAATCTTTTCCAGTTCTACATTTAAATTCATGGTTCATACTTTAACAAAATAGAAGCTAGCTTTATAAAAAGATCAAGTGCCAAGTCTTGAACAAGATCTTGACTATATCAAAGCCAAGATTCTGCAAATATAAGACATTTGGGACAAAGAAAAAAGAAGACAGAAGAGCAGAAAAATATAAAGGACCAAGTTTCAAACAGAGCAAATAAACTAATACAGCTTTAATGTAAGTTGCCTCATCTGGAAGAACATTCTTTAAAAGTCAGCAGTCTGCTCAACATCCTCAAGCTGATTAAAATCCATGCTAAACATGCACTTAGAATAGCACTGTTCAATTGTTGAGAAGGGTCAAGAAAACTATTGTTCATCTGATGTTCTTTAGTAGAAAACTAATGTTCCCTAAAATCCCAACAATTTAATGGTCTTGATTTTAGCCTTCCTCCTTTACTAGTCTACACACAGCTCCCAGACTGTAACAGGTTTTTGTAGAAATCTAATAAGTAGGAAAATATCACAGACTACAAAGTATTCTATAAAATGAAAACATGTTAAAAACAGGTCTGTTTATATAAAATACCCTGGCTTATAAGATAAGTGTGGATAAATGGGTCATAAAATAGAATAAACAATATAGGAACTAAATTGAAGGTGAAAAACAAATGGCTCTCTTTTCAAGGGATTTGCTTTCAATATCAGAAAGTCTTAAATTTTAAGTACTTAAAAAAGTCTGTTCAAATATTAGGAATCATATGATTTACAGCTATCTCTTCACCCTTTCCTAACAATTTTCTAATCATCAGTTAAAATAGCAACATTCACACTAAAACACCAATTTAAAAATCATTTTTCTCAATTTGACAATCAGACAAGCTGAAGCAATATCAACAGCCAAAAGCCAAAGCAGAGCATGCACAGAGCTCAATAACACTTACCTGCCACTCTTAGACCACAGTACAGTAAGTCATGCAACACAGAACAGATATAAGGCAAATTACTTAAAGGTCTGTGAACCTATTATTTTTCTTTTTACTTAGAGACAGAATAAAATGAATTCCTGAAGATCATTTTAACTTTTTAAATTATCTGAAAAGATTAAATAATTTAGGTTCACTACCTTTTAATATTATGCCGAAATTACTGAGCTCTGAATCACCTTCATGAACTGATCCACATTTGAAGTACTTTATATATGCATATGGACTAAATGGAACCTAGTCCATTTTTCTCAATTGTAATACAATTTTCCCTCAAATACTGCTTTTATTAGTAGATATGGAGGTAGCAGCTTTTTTCCTTTTCAATTTTTTTGTGTTTTCATTATTGTTGGTCTTAAATAATAAAATAGCCTCCAATTACAAGACAAAACTCTTTTTATAAAATTCAAGGAGATACCTTATTATTGTAATTTGATTTATAAATTATGATACAGTTCTAGAAGGAATGAGAAGTTTTACTCAAACGATTCACAGCTCAGTCATGCAAAGCAGTTAAAAGATGGCGAAGTGGAAACATTCATTAGTGCAAGACAAACGCAGTCTACTGCAGGCAAATAGAAATAGATATAAAATCATCTTCTCACTTTCAAAATCAAGGAAAAAATTTGGCCCCTGCTCAAGGTCTGTGCATGTCAAAACTTTAAGAAGATTCCCCATGTTAAGGTACCTGTCAAGACAAGAATGAGAAAGAGAAAATATCCCTTTATAAAAAGAACATCTGAAATTGACTTAAAGTAAAATAGTAACAGGGAAAAATGTTCATTAGGCCATGAATTCATCCTTCAGGTTACCCAGACTGTGCTCTGGCAGACAGCAAAACGGGTTCTCAAGGTGCTGATGTGTAGGACCTAGAGGTGAAATATGGTTTTTCCTGTACATAATGGCACAACTGTTGCTCTAATTCTTCTCAAAATTCTCCCAAGACAAGTTTCATTAATGGCCTTATAATGAAAAATTCTTTAAGTATTCCAATAGTGCTAGTTTTCTGAAAAAGAAATTTCCAATAAAGAATTATTCACAAAAACTTTCTAAGTATAGGAATGAAACAACAATTTATTTAAAGGCCAAATATTAAGGTTTGGCCAAAGCTCACCTTCACATCTCATTTTAAAATGTAAAACTTACTTTCTATATGCCAATGGATACTGCAGGTATCCCTAACCAAATCTGTAAAATTTGTGGAAGCTATTTTAAGTATTCATGCAGCACAGATTTTATTTCTTAAAGCAAATTATTATAGCATGATAAGTGAATAGACTTTGACATAGTCACTAAAGCATACTATTAGAATAGTCATCATAAGGCTACTTGCTTCATGGACTAATGAAAGGACAGCACTGGCTACAGACTCAACATGATTTTAGCAAATGAGAAACTAAAGAATTATACAAATGATGGTGATGCTTGCCTACAATTAAGGAAAAAAATCATGCAACCTTTGTTTGATTCCCCATGTTTAATTAACAAATATTCTGGCTGGCCTTCACTGTGGTGTGAGTATAATTCATCTTCCACCTTTACCATTATGCACCAGCTGTGAAGGGCTAAGGAGACTTACTTTCAAAGTCCAAGAAAAAATGTGCTGCATTGTGGTCTATGTCCCTGGTTAGCACCTTAATGAGATTACCCATGCCAGCAAACCTAAAAATAAAAATGGCAACATCATTTAGTTCCAGTTAAAGGCTGAAGCAGAGGCCTGGGGTTCGAGCAAGGCTGGCTTGCTCATAGCTGCCAACAGGTGCAGGCTCACATGGTTCTTACACTGATAACTTGGAACAACAAAAGTACACTCAGTTGAATTTATAGTTCCTGTCCCCCTGGTTCCATATATTTAAAAAGTTGTATAAGCAAGATGGGGAAAAATATTTTTACATATAACTTGTAATATTTACACTTGATTAACATCTATGCTAATGTTCTTTCTAAAAGATTCTGAGATACATATTCTAAATTTGAATGAACAGCAAAATTTGTTTTTCAAATATGTAAATATCCAGACCATTGTTTTAAAATTACTGAAGGTTCTGTCCTTCAATTTGAATCAAATCCTAATAGAAATACAAAGAAGACAGTATTTAACCACATTTAACCATTAGACTAAAGAAGGTTATCAATTAATTAACCACTTAACAAAATTATTGTACAAATCACAATATTTTTCCCTTCTCTAAGGTTCACCAAAATTTTCTATCAACTCTTAACTAAACATCTGGCTATACAGACTGAAAAGTTAACCCAGCAAACACCACACACAGAACCAGCAACTGTTTTAACTTAGTAAGTGTGCATACATTTTAACAATAAAACATGGGCATAATTCTTGCCCAAGGACTTGCCATGGCTCTGTGAAGGTGAAAGATGGTGTCAGGAAACCAGGTCAAACCTGGAAGCTAGAGTTAACAGGAACCATAAACAAACAGTACTGTCCGAACTGCTCAGACCCACTTCCCTTCCAACTACAATATTCCTTTTCCCCAGCTGAACTGCACAGACAAAACTTACATGAGACTAAAATTAAGAGTAACAGTATTTCTACAAAGGAAAAGAAGACACCTTATTACTCACCCCATTCAAAAACTCTGAAAAGACCTTGAACTTCAGTGCCTGTCCTGACTCTGACCTATTCGAAACACTGTCTATGTCCCTGTCAGCTTCCCAGAGAAGTAGTACATAGGTGTAGCACTTTCTTAGTCGAGGCCAAAACATTTTGTATAAAATGCTAAAAAGTTAAGTACTAAATTAGATTATATTTCTTTCAAATAATATTCCTTCTAAATCATTCTCCTTTCTTCTTTAGTAGTGTTTTTGTGTATGCGTGCATTTATACATGTCTGTGTACACGTGTGTGTGTGTGTATATATATATGGCCAAAGGTTGATGCCAAGTGTCTATGTCAAAGGCTCAACACCCTGTTTTTGTTGTTGTCTGTTTGAGACAGGGAGCCCACTGAACCCAGAGCTCATGATTCAGCAAGGCTGGCTGATCACTTAGCTTCAGGGATCTACTTGTTCCTTCCTTTCCCGTGCACGAATTACAGGCTTTTACAACCAACTTTTATGTGAATGTTGGAGATTCAAACTCACTCTTACAAGGCAAGCATTGTACCAACTGAACCATATCCCCAGCTCTAACTTTTAATTTATAATACTATTTTTATTATGTTCAATGTCCTGTTCAGTAGAATGTTCAGTGTTTTGATTTTGTATAATGTTTCATGCAAGTGGATTCAGTAAGTTAAAAGAAAACATTTAATAGTTCACTGTAATTATTTTGTATGTTGTACAAAGTTTAATGCCAAGCTGCTTTTAAGAGAGAGTTGTCTTGTAGTCCTGGCTACCTGGAACTCACTATGTAGACCAGCACAGTCTTATACTCTAATACCAAGCTTTCATATGAAAGAAAAAGGTAAGTATTTTTCCTAAATCACCAAATCCAAATTACCTCAAACTGATCAGGAGGAAGAGGTAGGTAAAGAAGAGGAAAAAGGGTGAAAAGTGAATCTACTCCATTTGACACAAAATAGCAGTGGTGATTTGAATGAGGCTTAGATATTTGAATACTTGCTCCCCAGCTGGTGGTGCTGTTAGGATAGGCTTAGGAGGTATATCCTTATAAGAGGAAATATGTTACTAAAGGTGAACTTTGAGGTCTGAAAGCCACATACCATTCCCAGTTTGCTTTCTCTGTTTTTTACCTTCAGTCCAAACTGTGAGCCCTCAGCATTCTGCTCCAGCCTGTGCTGCCATGCTTCCCCGATAAACTCTTAATCCTCTAGAATCATAAGCCCAAAAGAAACCCTCTGTAAGTTGCCTTGGCCTTGGTGTTTTATCACAGCAACTGGAAAGTAACTAATACAATGGTCTCCAACTTATCAATGGATTTTAAAGTTTTAAGTAGAATAAGGCCCATCTTTAGCCCATTTGTGTAACAAATATTGCCAAATGATTTTAATCAGTCAGCTGACCATCATAGTACTACCATAATAGTACAAAAGGGAGAGAGAAGAGAACAATTCAGTTTCTTTTATCTTTTACTGACATGTACATTTTGCTATTTGCAGGGAAAATGTTGGTACTAGCTAAGTTTGTCTTCCCATGTCCCCTTCTTATTATAAATCTGCTTCTTTCATGATGTGGGCCTACACAGGTCACCACTGCAACATACCTAGTCTTGACCTACTCATTCCCTAGTGTGATGATGTAGGATTTCTTGTCTTTTCATCCCAATATAAATACTTACTTTGAAAATGACTGCTTATCTGGTATGGTATTCCTCAACCTTGGCATCACTTGGCTGGTTAATTCTTTTGTTACTGAGGGCTATCTTACACAGTTGCATATTTATTTAGCAGCATCCTGAGCCTCAACCCACTAGAAACCAGTCATACCGGGTGTGCTTAAAAACATAGAATGTAGTAATCACAACTGTCCCTCTGTCCCCTCAGGGCAAAATTATCTCTGGGAGAGAATGATTGAGCACAACTGTTACTCAATGACCATATTTACTATCAACAGCTAAGGAAGGGTATCTCCAAACAGTGATTTCTAAGGAGGCAAAAGTACTTCTGGTTGACAACTGCAGCTTTCAATATATGATCATAAATACCAAACTGTCCTCCGAATAGCTATCCCCAATGTATGTACTCCACACATTTAAAACAAAACAAAACTCCTCAAACCTCTCGCCCATTCTGCCTTGCAAGAAATGACCTTATTCCATCTTTCACATGCAAAATGCAAATGTCTCCAGTCTGTAGCCCATTACTAAAGGGGTGGAGCCAGTGGATCCCAGGAGACTGTTGCTACATAGGGTAAGAATGGTAAGCTACAGATGATTCATGTGAGAAACTTGGTCAAAACTAAGGAGGAGAGGGATAATGGAAGACATCCACTACCTCCCTGTCTTCCCCATGTGCACTCACAGGTATTCCCTGTGAATTTGTGCACCTGTGCACAAACATCTGAATACACACCACACATGATGCTTTGTTACATCACAATCTTAATATTGAAATAAGTACCCTTAACTCAAATTTCTAGCTCTTGTTTCCAAGTATAACTATGCTTTAAGGAAAGAACTTCTAAAATGAGGCAAAGCTGTCCATGTCCACTTGCTTTACTAGTAACCTCAGGCCCTTTGCACCTATTCCTAACCATATGAATACTGGTTCTGCATAGCTCAGAACCTGCCTGCTCTACAACAGTATCCTATCTTCTTTACAACTTGACTGTTAATTATACTGTCTATCATCAGCCTTCTCCACTTTTTCAACTCCCAATTTTCCAATCCATTCCTATCTGCCATCTACCATTAAAATGAAGCTGTCTCTGTTAAGGCCACTGAAACTTGCTTCTGGATAAAATTTAATATGCAGTTCTCATATTTTAACTTCATAAACTCAAAGTGTTTGACTAGGTTTATACTCACAATTTTCCAAAATGCTTTCATTTAATATAATACATTCTCCCAAGTTTCCTTCCTATTTTATAGCTTTTCTCTTTCTGTTTTCTCCCCATTATTATATATGTATTTATTTCTCTTTTCTTAAAATTAAACAAAAGTATGTTATTATTCTCTTTCCTTCCCCAGCTCGCATATAACTGCCTTGCTTCTTCTTTGCAGAAAAATTCCTAAAAAGCAGTCTTCTGTGCTCATCATCCTTGCTTCATCACCAATTTCCATTCTGTTAAACCTAATCCAACCAAATTCTGTCCCAAATCCACATAACTAAACTGCTGTGGCAAGGCCACCAAATAACCTCTATGTTGCCAGTTTTCAAGTCCCACCTACTCACCAGTCAGAAGCAGTTGACATACTGACACTATCAATATATTTTTTTTGTCACTAGTTTAACAGATGCTATGGATTACTGCTTACTGATCCACCATCCTGATCCTTGATAACACTGTTTCTTGCTAGGATTACTTCAAGGACCCAAAGTAGTCACACTGATTCTACCCTTTTTTCTTCTGACAATCTCTTATCTTTTAAAATATATACATTAATCAGATTATGTTCTTTCTCTTTATAAAACTATTCAATAGCTTCCTGCCATAATATAAAATCTAAGCCCTTATTAAGTCCTCCAGGGCACTGTGATTGGAGCTGGAGCAATGGTTCAATGGTTAAGAGCACTGACTTTTCTTCCAGAAGACCCAGGTTCAATTCCCAACACCCACATGGCAGCTCACAACAAAGTATTAAGATTTTGTTAGAGCAAATTATACCCTCACCATGAATTATTAAATGCACATGCCAAGTTAAAAGTATTTAATTATAGTATGGTAAAATAATTAAAACTGAGAAAGCATACTTCATTCTGAGTGTCTCACAGCATGTGACTTACATCTACTAAATTTACTTGTGAAACTGCACCCTTACATTGCTTCAGCTACAGGATATGTGTGCTACATGTTTCCTATGGTGACATTTAACTTTTAACTTCAATGTTAAAATGAAGAACTTTAATTCAACTATGTAAATCTACGCATAAAGTTATGAGGTCATATATAAGAAATCCAATAGAAAGATTAATACATGGAAGTAGAAATGAGTCACAACCATGATACTATATACACCAGACTTTCATAGCATCTGAGTACAACTTGAATGGCCTTTAGCATTACAGCTAACTGAAAAGT